AACAAACTCAAAGCGCTGTGGGAGAACTGTGTCACTGTGGAAGTAACATTACAGAAAAACATGACAAAAACCTTTTTCTTAAAGTCTACACAAGAATTTCAACATAGCACCTACTGCCCCACTGTGCAAATGCATATAAAACTCTTCTAAGGAAAGACGGCACAGACACTTTAAAAACAAATTAAATATTTTTGAAGAGCAATTTCTGTAATACCAAACAAAGTTTTAATGCAATCATCCTGAAACCGTACCATCCTTGATTCATTGAGGAACAAACTAAGACCAAGACAGAGAAATGTAAAGCTTAAAGAAAATATCCGAAATCAAGCCAATACAAACTTTTTTTTTTTTTGCAAGAAAGAATATAGCAATACGTAACTTCTCACCAGAGGTACCCAAAGGTTCCTGGAGACTCCATACTAAAGTTTTAGAGCTTCCCCTTGCCAGCTCAGCACCTCACTTTTGAGCTCCAGTAGGGGACAATGCTGCTCAGATTTGAGACAGTTTCCATTCTCAGTTCTATTATTATACAAGGGAAGTAAATCTGGACATTATATTGCTATTTTGGGAAAACAAAAAAGCAATTCTGGAAATACCAGGATATTGGTCAGTTAACATTACTCTTCAGTATCCAAAACAGAATAATTTTTAAGGCCTGTTTCTGAATTTTTCCCACGATTTGTTCATATTACAAAGGTTTTCTTGCAGCACACTTTAACTATGATTACATTAGATGCACAATTTTCACTCATCATGAGTAGGGAAACATTATGATTCAAATCTGTTTTCTTAGAGACTTAATTTCTTTCAAACACTTTAATAGCATGGAACAGATGTTCCACACCTGCATGCATCTCAGGACCATCTTCACTACAGAGAGAAACATACATTGCTTTCCAGTGCTGAAGATGCAGGCTTTGACTCTAGAGGACGTTGTATATGTGGGATGTGATTATTGCAGGGAGGAAATAACTCTCATACATGTGTTAAGAAGCAGTGACACCACCACCCTCATTTCATGTACAAATTGATATAACCGTAACATATTTTGCTGAAATTGCTGATACAGAGGTCATGGCACATGTCTTATGGCAGCAACCAGCAAAACTCCCACGAGTGTTTAGTCCTGGAGACTATTTGTGGAGCTAATAGGTGTTCCATAAACATACAGACCAAAAGTGCATGGTAACCTGTCACTGCTGTAAGAGGCAAGTTCAAATTCTCTCCCTTCTGCTCAGTAAAAGAGTCCCACAGTCCCTTCTGTAACTACATCACCATTGTGACTTACTTTGGGCAAGGTTCAGGGCACTGGGCATTCATGCCTGCCCATAATTCATAGAAATCTTGGGAATGGATATCCATACTCAAGCAACTTGAACTCCTGTTTCAGCCAGTGAGCTCTTCACCAGCTCCTCTCTAACTGATGGAGGAAAGGCAGGTCTTCCAGAGAACAAATCCAAGCAGATCCAAAATGTAGTGTTCTGGATTGTTCTTTGGGAGAACCTGTCTTTGTGGACAACAGAAGAAGCTGAAAGAGTCCAGCTAGTTTGCTTAAGTGGTTGCAACCTCCAACATCACAGTAATACCTGAGCTCCTGTCTAAATTCCCCTCCCTGTTGGACCGTCATTCCTCTCTTTAGCTACCAATACCATTCTAGGAAAGCAATGCATAGGTCTGCTCTTCACTCTCTGCCTTCCTTCACTCTCTGATCCCCTCAGCCAGGGGCGGTCATCAGGAGTCAGGGCTAGCACCAGCAAGAGAGCTGCAAGGCTCCAAAATGAATTCAGCACTGGTCAGCAAAGAGATTCACCCTTCCTCTTCTGGGCCCTGTGTGAACTCTGCCCAAGATCTGGACTCCAGACACTTCTCTGGGCCTTATGCAGAGGCACTGCTCAGAAAGCTAGCTTATTTGGGAGTCAGCCATCCAGGCACTAGAAAGAGTGAAGAACTATGGCAAGGAAGCTAGAAATTAAGGGGGTAGCTTCCTCTTAAAGACAATGCCAAGGAAGAAGGGTCCACACTATATGTGAGTTGTGGTGTTTCAAGTCCTGATGTGGTGCTGGTGCTGTGGTGCTGGTGCTATGCTGCTGGCAATGACACCTAAAGCTCACTGCAACCTCCTACATCCTCTTCTGCCTATTTTAGACAAAAGGAATGCTGTGAAAAAATAGGAAATCTAATTATTTTAACCATCAGACTGAAGTGATAGGGTGATTGCCAAAATGTAACAAGCAACTAGAAAACAGACTACTGAGCAGAACATCTTCTGTCCATAAAAGAGCTAGTAAAACCCTACAGAAGGCACCTATGGTAGTACACTGTAAGAATAGGAAGACTCAGGCACAGAGATCCCAAAGTAGATGTATTCCCTGGTGTGTCTGTCAGGACATGGCCCACCTTTCACCCATCAGAGCTGCATGCTAATGCCTCCTCAAACTGTACTTTAAAAGTTTGAAGGAGGTGTGCACAGGGATCAAATTAAATCATAACACAGGCTGCTGTCTGAGTTCTGCAAATAGGCCATAGTGAGTCAGCAGATGTTGGTTTCACAATTCCTGCGCAGCTTTCCCAGGCAGAGAGATACATGCCTAGGAGTTTTCCAGAGAGGTCAGACCTACTGCATGGGATGACTGGGAAGCCTGAGACACACTGCGTGAGCCTAAATATGTACATGGGACACGCACACAGGAAGCCCAATGCTCACAGCATCAGCTTAGCGTGCACGCCTACAGAGGCCTGCACAGACAATGCAGCTGCCTGACCAACCCACCACACATTTCCAGTTTAGTCTAAAGTCAAAACATGGGTGCATTCGGTCCCATCTGGCACTTAGGGACGCTTGGGAGGTCTAAGCCAGACTAAACTGAGTCACCCACTGCCATCTTGCCATGGTATGGACTGTGAAGAGCCAGTGTCTGGGTGCATGGTGGGCACATGCTTGCACTCTGCACCCTGCTCCAGCTGTACAGGAGGGCAAGCATTCACCAGGGTGGATACTTTTCCATGGGCCAGGTTGTAGGTACTGGAGTCAACAGGAATTAGGACAGAAGCTGTCAGTTGCCTTGTTGATGAAAATGCATAGGATTTTTAAACACTATTTACTTTATTGCAATGTTCTGTGCTGCTTGTCTTCCCGGACTTAAAGGATGAAGATTTACAAGGAAAACGCTGCTTGTCCCCACACAGACAAAAATATAGGCAAAAATCTGTCAGAACAGCTGGTCGTTCCTTGGAAATAGGGATGGATGGAGTGTCCTTGAGGTCCTCACCTGCCCTATTGACAATATAACTATATCCTCCCCTTGATGTTTTCTCTCCCATTTTTACCAATGCCATAATTTATGTCATTGGCAAAATTTTCAGAAACAACATCATTGTTTATTCTGCATCACTGCTAAAAACATAGTTAAATACTGCAAGGTCAAGAAATTATCTAATTAAAAACCCATCAGGCTGATAAAATTTTCCCCATTTATGCTGACATTTTCAGACCTAGGAACTAGTCAGTTTTTAATCAATTTAGAATAATACAAATCCAATACAGCTTACATTAATTTCCTAATTAAAATGTCAGGTAGCGTGAAGCTGAATACCTCTGAAAAGTCTGTAATAACAAACCCATTTCCTTTACCAGCTAAACTTTTAGTTCAGTTTTAATTTCACCAGATATATTTGTTGGCTGGTGGTACTTATGTTGCGTTGCCTTCATTCTTTAGTGGCTATGACCTGTGTAAACTGTTCCACTGGTTTATCTTAAATTGCCTTTAGATCTGAAAGATCTCTAATTATATTACCTATTCCATATATCTCTTTACAAATTCTGGCATAATATTATCTGTCTTCCAGTTTAACATTCCCGGCCTTCCAAAATCTGTGTGGGAGTGTGTGGGTCAGAGAGCTCCTCAGTGCTCACATTTAATATTCTCGACAGCAAGGATGTAATGATTAAAAAATGTCTTAAGTTAGGACATTTCGCCTATTTTTGCAGCTGAAGGCACAGAGCAGCAGCTGCACAGCTCCCGCCGCCTCCCACATCAAGCTCCTTCAGGGCGGCTGCACCCCACCCTCACCCCTCAATCCCGCGCTTGCCAGGCGGGGACAGTGCGACACAAACCAGGGCTGGGACAGGGACATGGTCTAACACGGAGTCGCAAGCACCACTCTCCCTACAGATCGGCCTCCCCACGGTTTGGGGCTGGGAAGCCGCTTCGCCAGCCGCGGCGCTGGGG